AACACAAAACGAACTAAAAACTCACGAAATGACGTAAAACGAGGAAAAATGAGGGGAAAAGAAGAACAAAAAATATAACGAAAATGCAACAAAAATGGTACAAACACCGCTCAATTGTTCCATCCGAGTGGTACTTGATGCGAAAGATCCATTTGCACCCAATAGCATGTTTGCCCTCAGGAAGGGACACGATATCCCAAGTATGATTGTCTTCCAATGCTTTGATCTCAAGTTGCATGACAGAACGCCAACGACTATCCCGAACTGCCTCTGCGTAAGATTGAGGTTCGGTAGAAGAAGCTATAGCTGCCAACAATGTCTTATGTCCCGGTGAGAAGGAACCGCAAGAAACATAATGAGCAATAGGGTACAAAGAGCTCGAGGATGATGATCGAATCGAGGAGTCAACAGGGGGGACGGTGGACAGACAGTATGAGAAACGTAGTCAGTGAGCCGAGAAGAGCGATGCTTGACCCGATGGCCACGACCAAGTAACTCAGTTTGGGGGGTTTCAGGGTTACCCCCATATCCTCCTCACTAGCAGAATTCCCAGAACTAGGCGGGGCAGGTCCACTTGACACAACCGGGGTTGCATTATCATCGTCTGACACAACAGGCCAAGTATCAACAGGAACCGGAGAGTCAGAAGGAGCAGAGAACTCCATATAAGGAAATTCAGATTCACAAAATTCTACGTCACGAGAAACTAAGAAAGCCCTCGCCTCCAAGTCAAAAACACACCACCCTTTCTGACCAGTCGGGTAACCAACGAAAATACATTTTCGACTCCGACTCGCAAACTTGTCACCTTGACGATGGTGATTATGTACGTAGCATAAACAACCAAAGACACGAATATGGGTATACGGTGGAGGCCGATGATGCAAGATTTCATAAGGAGTCTTACCAGACAAAACATGAGTGGGAGTACGATTTATCAGATAGCCTGCGGTAAGCACACAGTGACCCCAGAATTCAAGAGGGAGTTGAGCTTGAAAATGCAGTGCCCGAGCAACATTAAGGATATGCTGATGCTTCCGTTCCACTCGCCCATTCTGCTGAAGGGTTCCGACACAAGAGGTCTCGTGTATAATACCTTTGGTTCGAAAGTAATCCCGAAGACAAGTAAATTCAGTGCCATTGTCACTACGGAATACTTTAACTAAGGAGTCGAATTGTCTTTTTACCAAAGCAAAGAAAGCGAGCAACGTATTAGAAACGGCAGTTTTATCATCCAATAAATAAATCCATGTGGCACGAGAAAAATCATCGACAATAGTCAAAAAATATCGTGCTCCACTAAAGGTGGGAACGCGATATGGCCCCCACAAGTCACAATGTATCAAATCAAAACAAGCACTGCTAACACTACGACTAACAGGAAAGCTAGCCCGGGAGTGTTTAGCTCGAAACATATATCAAAAGCCTTATTGGAAACTGAAGTACTAGAGTTAACAAAAGGAAACTGAACTAAAACCGAGGACGAAGGATGACCCATTCGTCGATGCCACAAATCCGGAGACATTGTCTTCACTCAAGTAGCCGCTGCAGTGACTGTCCCTTGGAAGAAGTAAAGTCCCCCCAACTGATCACTCGTTCCAGTCACCATCTTCGAAGTTAGGTCCTGAATCACACAAAATTTATGAGAAAAAATAGCAATGCACCCAGAATGCTCCAACAGTTGAGATAGAGAAATCAGGCTACACCGAAGGCTAGGAACATAAAGCACATTATAAAGAGTAATAAAAGAACCAAGAGTGATGGTCCCGACTTGGCGAGCAGTAGTAAGTGTGCCATTAGGCAACTGAACAGAGCGTGGCGGAATATCCCGAATATCAGTAAAAGAATCCCGAGAACCCGTCATGTGATGTGTAGCACCACAATCATATATCCAATCCATAGAAATACGCTTACCAGAAAGCGGAGTATTAGTGCGAGCGGAATTGACAAGGTTGACGAGGGACTCTCATTGAGCATTAGACAACCCGGAAAGTGCGGCCATGTCCATTTCATTCAACACGGGCCCAATAGAAAAATTAGAAGAGCCAACTGCCGCATTTTCCTTTGCGTGGGAACCACCGTCGTTACGCCCACGAGCGCCTCAGCCACCACGGCCACCTCGACCTCCACGAGACGAGCTCCACCACTCGGGATAGCCATGAGTCTAAAAAAAATTCGCCGCAATGTGACCCTTTTTCCCGCATCCAAAGCATGTGAGATTCGTCACCGATCGAACTCTAGCCGTCCCGGATTGCGTGGTCGAGGCTACTGCAGTTGCACCTGCTATTTGCGGTAACGAGCCCTGTACGCCGGCAGGTCTATGTGGTGTGTTGCTGCCCAGAAGCTCGAGGCCTGTGATGTTTGCAGCGGCTGGAGAGGAGAAAGCCGCCGTACTGCTCGACGGAGCCGCGCCCAACAGCCCCGACCCATTGATCGAGAAGCCGTCCACGATGACTTGGGGCTGTTCATTGCTTGTCGTGCGCATCCGTTCCTCGCGAACCCTCATGAAAAAGACCCGATTGAGATTGGGGATGGGATCAAGTGCTAAAATATGAGAGCGAGTGGTGCCATACAAGTGTCCATCAAGGCCCATAAAAAATTGATGAACTTTCTCTTCATCACGTTTTTTTATCCCAGAGGGCTTGAAGAGCACATACACACTTTCCACAGTTGCAGAGAAAAGGTTTATCATAGTCTGATAGTTCTTCCCAAATTTTCACCAATCGACCATAATA